TGGAGAACGGTCGGTTATTTATTGGGTTTCTTCGGTCAATAATTGGTGATTTTAGTATTTCAAGATTCAAATAACAAAATTAATATAATTTTGTTAATTTTTATTATAAATAGTTATTAATTATTATTAATTAAGTATTTAACTTTAATAAAATCCATTACAAATTGTTTTTAGTAGGTTAATTGATTTTTTATAGCTTAGTACAGAAAAAGAAAACCTTAATCGGTCAATAATTGGTGCATTTACCCTAGTTTGGTAGTCGCAATTCGAGGCTAAATTAATAGTTTTTTTTTCTTTTTTGCAAGTGATCACACGAAAAATAACAAAATATAAAATTATTTCTAATCAAAATTTAATTTATTAAATTCAATTCATAATTATGGTTAAATAATTATAATAATATAACTATTAAAATATCAACTGACAAGTACTGGGCTGTCAAAAAACAATAACAACTGTTATAGGTTATCTAAGTATTGAAAAATTCTAAAATAAAAAAATTTTCTTCCTAGGTCCTTGATTTCATCCGCGACAACGGACGAACCCCCGACGTCTTATACGAAGTGAACATTCCGTTCCAGGAACAGTTCTGCGGTGCGATCTCGGAAGCCTCCCGCCTGGAAATCTTCCGCAAAATAATTTCCTACGAACCAGGTGAACGGGACGACCTCGCATATCTGTTCCACGGCCAGACAGTTCCCGACAAGTCAGTCGCGGATTGCGTGGAAGCCTTAACAGGGATCTACCTGCTAAAATCTGGTCCAGTAGCAGCCGCCAGATTGCTCCAGTGGTTTGGAGTGGTTCCGCCGAATGTCTCCATAGATAAAGTCCTCTTCGGAGCGCCACCTAGCGCCAAGATCGGCGACGGACAAGTAGACCACCACATGCCCTGGCGGAGTTCCATCGAGGAACGGATCGGCTACAAATTTAGGGACAGGTCCTTTTTATTGCAGGCCTTTACCCAGGCCAGCTACACCGTCAACACAGCGACAGTCAGCTATGACAGGTTAGAGTTCCTTGGAGACGCCATCATTGATACGTTAATCACCAGTTACATTTATGAGAACTGCGGGGACTTGAGTCCCGGAGACTTGACCGATCTGAGGTCCGCGTTGGTCAACAACATAACCTTCGCGTGTTTGACGGTCAAGTATGGACTGCATACTGCGATGCTGGCGTACGCGCCGAGCTTGGCGGAGAGTATCGAGCAGTTCCTTAAGTATCAGCAGGAACGGGACTACCAGGTTGATGACGAACTGCTCTGGGTGCTCATGCAGGAGGACGAGTGCTACATGGCGGAGTACGTTGATGTTCCTAAGGCACTTGGCGACCTCTTTGAGTCGGTCATCGGAGCTGTTTTCTTGGACAGTGGAAAGAATTACCAGCGCACTTGGCAGGTACTAATTCAAAATGTTTTGTAACTTTTAAATGGTTCGTTCAATCAATTCGCGGGTGAGCTTTTTTATAGAGCGGAAAATTTCTGATAAATTTCTAAAGAGAAATTTTTCAAAAATTTTAATTTATTAATATACTAATTATTAATAATTTTTTTATAATTATAATAAATTTTCTATTCCTAGGTACTCTACAGTCTGATGAACGCCGAGATTGACAAGTTCAGTAAGAAAGTCCCCAAGCAACCGGTAAGGAAGATCTACGAAACTCCTGGCATCAAACCTCACTTTTTACAGTCAACGGTCGTGGATCAGGGCAAGTGCGTGATGATTCCTCTAGAAATAGAACGGAACGGAAAAAAAGAAATCTTCAACGGGTTCGGGGCGACTAAGAAGCAAGCTAAGGCCGCGGCTGCCAAGCTCGCGCTCAGGAACATCTTGAAGAAGAACGTGGACTTGTAGATCAAGTTCCAGTTCTTATTCTAGTTCCTGGAACTGTCCCAGTTCTGGTTCCTGGAACTTTTCCAGTTCTAGTTCCTGGAACTGTTCCAATTTTAGTTCTCGGTACTGTTCCAGTTTAGGTGCCTAGCACTGTTCTAGTTCTGGTTCCTGGAACTGTTGCAATTCTGGTTTCTGGAACTGTTCCAATTCTGGTTCCTGGGACCGTTCCTAGTACTGTTCCAGTTCCTGGTACAGTTCTTGGAACTGTTCCTGTTCCAAAGTATTTATAAACGTTGAAAGTGATAAGTGTTTATTAGATTTTAATATTCATTTTAATATATAAATATATATTTCTGTATTTTTTTTATTGTGGAGTTGAATACAATTTTAATTTATACTGTATGCAGTTATAGATTAATAAAAGAGTGGTTTTGGCCGTCGTGGACAATCTGTTTGTTTGACACATTCTTTATTTTTTGTCAGGTAGTAGCCGTCAAGACACTCGCATCCAAAAGTGCAATTCTAAAAAGAAAAATTTTTTTAATTTTTTAATTTTTTTTATTATAAAAATTCGGTATATTTCTTATGCTTAAATTTTTATTTTAAGGATAATTAAAAATTAATAATTACATCCTGAACATAAAACTAAATCACTAGATTTTTTTAAAAATTAAGTTTTTATACTGCCTGGTCAATATTTGGTTTTTTTTTGTACATATCAAAGATTTTTATGTAATACTTACATGAGGACAAGGATTTATCGGTTTTTTTCCGCAAGTTAATGGACATGGTGATCTGCAGAAGGAAAATTGTTGATTTTCTCCACAGTTAACTGGTAAAATTCGGTCATATGTTTTGGGAACGCAGTCTTCTGGCTTGACGCAATCTAGAGTACTGTTCAAGTAATAACCGTCTTTACATTCACATCCAGGACTGCACGGCTGAGGAAACAAAGCTATTAATTATGTCATGACTCTTAAAATATTGATTTTATTATTATTATTTCTATTATTAATTTATATTACATATGGACAGTCTTCTTTAGGTAAATTTTTCTTCCCACAAGAGAGCGGACAAGCTGTTACACAATCACTGTAACGCTGGTTCTGTTTGCACTGACCCATATCTATTGAATTTGTGAACTCCAGATCGGGATTGACTGTAATATTAATTATTAGATGTGTATAACACCAATTTTTACTGAGAAACTTTTTTTTTTTAATTTAACTGAAGAAGATTACAAACACCGGGAACACTAGAAATATCAGGAACATCTGGAACACTAGGAACAAGAGGAACATTAAGAAAAATAATGCTATTAAGAACATCTAGGTAGTAAGGGACATTAGGAACTAGATGAACACTGAGAACAAGAGAAATATCAAGAAAAAGAACACTATTCAGAAAATTAAGAACATTAGGAACAGAAGGAACATTAAGAATGAATGGAACATTAGGAACGAGAGGAACATTAGGAACTAGATGAATACTAAGAACATCAAGAAAAAGAACACTATTGAAAAAATTAAGAACAAAAGGAACGTTAGGAACATCAAGAACAAGAAAATTAATAACACTAGGAACAAAAGGAAAATTAAGAATAAAAGGAACATTGGGAACATGAGGAACATTTAGAACAAGAAGATTATTAAGAAAAATAATGATATAAGGAACATCAAGGCAGTAATAGTTCATCAAGAACCTTTAAAGACATCATATTGCTTACAGGGAAGGAACATTAGGAATTAGATGAACACTAAGAACATCAAAATAAAGAACAATATTGAGAAAATTAAGAAGACTAGGAACAAGAAGAACATCAAGAACAAGAGAAACATAGGGAACATGAGGAACATGAGGAACTAGTGGAACATTAAGAAAAATAATGCTATTAGGAACATCAAGGTAGTAAAGAACATTAGGAACTAGATGAACACTGAGAACAAGAGAAATATCAAGAGAAAGAACATTATTTAGAAAATTAAGAACATTAGGAACAAGAGAAACATTAAGAGCTAATGGAGCATTAGGAACAAGAGGAACATCAAGAAAAAGAACACTAGGAACAAGAGGAATATTAACAATAAAAAGAACATCAAGAACAAGAGGAACATAGGGAACATGAGGAACATGAGGAACTAGTGGAACATTAAGAAAAATAATGCTATTAGGAACATCAATGTAGTAAGGAACATTAGGAACTAGATGAACACTAATAACATCAAGAAACAGAACACTATTGAGAAAATTAAAGACACTAGGAACAAGAGGAACATTATGAACAAAACGAACATAAGGAACAAGAGGACTACTAGGAACAAGAGAAACAATAGGAGTAAGAGGAACATCAATATCAAGAGGAACATAGGAAACATTAGGAACATCTAGAACATGAGAAACATCTAGAACAAGAGGAACATTAACAATAAAAAAAAACATCAAGAACAAAGGAACATAGGGAACATTTAGAACAGGTGGAACATTAAGAAAAATAATTTTATTAAGAACATCAAGGCAGTAAGGAACATTAGGAACTAGATGAACACTAAGAGAAACATCTAGAAAACGAAAACTATTTAGAAAATTAAGAACATTAGGAACAAGAGAAACATTAAGAGCTAATGGAGCATTAGGAACAAGAGGAACATCAAGAAAAAGAACACTAGGAACAAGAGGAATATTAACAATAAAAAGAACATCAAGAACAAGAGGAACATAGGGAACATGAGGAACATGAGGAACTAGTGGAACATTAAGAAAAATAATGCTATTAGGAACATCAATGTAGTAAGGAACATTAGGAACTAGATGAACACTGAGAACAAGAGAAATATCAAGAGAAAGAACATTATTTAGAAAATTAAGAACATTAGGAACAAGAGAAACATTAAGAGCTAATGGAGCATTAGGAACAAGAGGAACATCAAGAAAAAGAACACTAGGAACAAGAGGAATATTAACAATAAAAAGAACATCAAGAACAAGAGGAACATAGGGAACATGAGGAACATGAGAAACAAGTGGAATATTGAGAAAAATAATGCTATTAGGAACATCAAGACAGTAAGGAACATTAGGAACTAGATGAACACTAATAACATCAAGAAACAGAACACTATTGAGAAAATTAAAGACACTAGGAACAAGAGGAACATTATGAACAAAACGAACATAAGGAACAAGAGGACTACTAGGAACAAGAGAAACAATAGGAGTAAGAGGAACATCAATATCAAGAGGAACATAGGAAACATTAGGAACATCTAGAACATGAGAAACATCTAGAACAAGAGGAACATTAACAATAAAAAAAAACATCAAGAACAAAGGAACATAGGGAACATTTAGAACAGGTGGAACATTAAGAAAAATAATTTTATTAAGAACATCAAGGCAGTAAGGAACATTAGGAACTAGATGAACACTAAGAGAAACATCTAGAAAACGAAAACTATTTAGAAAATTAAGAACATTAGGAACATTGAGACCAAAAAGAATATTATGAACAAGAGGAACATAAGGAACAAGATGAACATCAAAAACGTTATTAAGAATATTAAGAAAACTACGAACAAGCGGAACACCAAGAACATAAGGAACATAAGGAACCAGAAAATGCTAGCAGCGCCACTAGCAGTACGCCATGGAACTAACTTTGTATCTCCCCCATATAAGTATAAAAACCACAAATTTCTTTAATATAAATTGACTTATTTAATTAAAATTACTATTATTAATTGTTTTTAGGGTTTATAGCAAAAAAAAATTAACTTACTAGCAATTGCGAATGCGAGAGCAACGAAACAAAAACTCAACCCCTGGAGCAACATTGTAAACTCTGCTACTAAATTGAAGAGCTGAATTCAAACTAATGGTATTTCAATAATAAAAAAAATAATACGTCAAGTACTTAAGTGAATTACGTTCTAAAGCGACATAAAAACTTATTTTTCAATTATTATTATCTCAATAATTTTTAGGTAACTATTAATAAAGAATTACTAAGTTACCTTAGAAGTAATTGCTTTCGCCTGCGGGTGTTAAATTTTTAATCATCAGCTACGCAGTAAATTATGGAACTGGGTAAAATATTTATTAGAATTTTTTTTATGGACTGCAATATAATTTTTACTTTTTTCAGCAAATTTTTTGCTGTGATGTAAAAAATAATGATACAATTACTAACATTTTAGTTGGTAATTTCAGTTAATGATTTGTTATTTGATGAGTCATAACTATAAGCTATTGTTTCCAACGCTGATGGTATGAATTTAGATTTATAGCAGTCTTCAATGTTGATGCACTTTTTGGTATCCAGATCTCGGTAGAAGTTTTTGGAACATTTGCAACCATACCAACAGTCCTGTCAACCAAATATATGATAATTATTATTAATTATATAGTAGATAATAATTGAAGATTATTATGCTTACCCCTGAAACGGTATGTTCCAATGCGTAGATCCGCCATTCATCTTTTTCATTTTCTTTCCGCTGATGTTCCGGTATCATGTGGTCAAATTCAGGCTTTAGAATGAAAAATACATAAAATTGTAAGTTTTCAGAAGAAAAATAGTGTTTAATTTAATGGAGATTAATTCTATACTTGTTAAAAATTAATTTAGTGCAATAGAAACGGAAAAAAATATCAAAATAGGTCAAAAAATTTTCCTGTCCGTCATGCATGAAACTCCGAAAACACTGTAACTTTGTGAAAAAATCAATTATTTAAGTTAAATTTTTTTTTTTTTAATTCTAATCGACAATTGTAGATCACCGAATGCGAATGGCTAATTAATTCAGTGTCGTTTAATTACAATCCGAACAAAAACAGTTTCACTGTAAAAAAAATCGCGCCAAGTCCACGTTCATAAGACTATTAAGAAAAAAAATTTTATTTCTTTACAAAAAGATATAAAATAAAAAATTAAAAAATCCAAGTAACCGATATGGTTGTATATGATTTTCCGAAATTAGAAAAAATTTTATTGTAAATTTAAAAATTAAAAAAAAAAATTTGGAACGTATTTAGTGTGCGTGGTTACGAAATATTTCACTTTTTATGAAATTCCTAAAATCTATCTACTAGGACTTTTAAAAAAAATTGAAGTACACAATGACGCACACCAAGTACGTTCCAAAATTATTTTTTTAATTTTTAAATTTACAACAAAATTTTTTATATTTTCGGAAAATCATATACAATCATATCGGTTACTTAGATTTTTTAATTTTTTTAACTTCCCGCTAAAAATCTCAGATTTTCAAAAATCGGGAAGTTATTGGTTTTAAACCAGTGGTGCAATTTCACTGGTGAATCAGTGAAATCCACTGATTCAATCAGTGAACAAAATATCTGCGCGCATGCGCGCTAGTATCTCCACTGGTTGAATCAGTGAAATCCACTGATTCGCCAGTGACATTGCACTCACGGGTTGGAATCAGTGAACTTCCACTGGCGAACCAGTAAAATTCCACTGATTTCTTTTAAGAGAGTGTAAATTGCATCTGAGAGCTCTTTAAATAAGCTTCAATTTGAGTACCATATCATATGTGTAGTCCCAAAATTATGTCCTATTCCGCTACGCCAATTATGAAATTTGCTATTGCAGTCGTTTTTTTTTGTTTTTTTCTTTACTGTACACCAGCAGTAAGTAAACAAATAACGGAGTTAGGGTGAAATAAGCTTTTAATCACCGGTTTACTAAAAATCCATTATTTTTTTCTATTTATGATGAAATCTACTTCCATTTCGACTGCCGAATGGTCTTTTTTATTATATATCTTTTTGTAAAGAAATAAAATTTTTTTTTCTTAATAGTCTTAATCAAGTAAATAATTTTGAAGAATTTCATGTTTTTGATTTGAGTGGAAATATTCTTAAACTAAGAAATTTTTCTTGTTCAAAGAATATTTTACTTGATTTAAGAATTTTCGTCTTGATCTAAGACAATAAAACTCTTCGAAATTATTTCCTTGATTCAAGAATTTTTCTCTTGATTCAAATAAACTTTTTTTTTTCTGTGCGGGAAGTTGCAGGGATGGCCTTTAAGGTCAACCGTTTTTCTAATTTTTTTTTCTCCAATCAATTAGAGAATGGATAAAAATAAAAATCTGGTTGAAAAACGCAAAATAATAATAATAATAATAATATAATTATTAACCATCAGCTGAAATGAGATGGTACTGCCGCCAAATCTCGTTCCAGCACACAAATGTTCACTTTCTTCATGACAAGTACTAAAAGTTTCATTAGCTCCACATCCCAGATCTTTTGCAGTAAATTTTTTATTTCCTGGTATCGGAGCTCCCGCAACTGCAAAAAAAAATTTAATTCAAATTATTCAGACAATAATTTCAAGTATAAAATTAAAAAATTAAAAAATTTTCTTACCCAAAGAAAAAAAAGTAAAAACAACCCAAGTTTGAAAATTCATATTTTCAAGTAAAAAATTTTTTTTTTTTTATTCGTAAAAGATATATTTTATTTTCGAGTATTTATACTTGTTATTGATCCAACGGAATTCGTCAATTTTCTAATTATTTTTGTTTCGTTGTTTTTTTTTTTTTTTTATCTATTCTTATCTATTTTATAAAGTTCCAAAATTCTTCGAAATAATTAATTGTCGTAAAAATAAAAAATGTTATTGAAAAAATTGCGTCTTAAATTTTTATATATAAAAAAATATTTTTTTTTTCTACAAAAATCTAATTTTCAAAATTAAAAAATATTCATTTCAAAAATTTGATTTTAGCGCTAAAAAAAATTTAAAATATCAAATTCAAATTTCCCACATTTTTTTAAATTTCTGACAGCGCCTCTGGCGGGCTTTTTTGAATTAAAAAATTAACCGGGCTAATGGAGGATGATTATCCGAAAATCCTAACCTCAATTTTAACCTCTGAATAACAAGTAACGCTTTGTATTTTTATAGAGTCATACTCTGTAATAAATACAATTCATTATTAATTATAAATAATTAATAATTGATTTAAAATAATCATAAAGTTTTATAGATAATTAGCGGTTAAAGTGTTGGAGAGATTTTTGATTAAAAATGGTAAATAAAATTTATTTTTATAAAATAATTCTTGTCATTTTGACAATTATTATTATTAATATTTTGACTTATTTATTAACTTTTTAGTTTTCAGATTTTGAAAATATTTTATTATTATTTTTAAGAATTATAATATTTTTTTTTAATGAAAATTATCGGTAATAATTTTTTTAATAATAATAATTTTAATTTATAAAATTTTGAATTATTATTATTATTATTAAAAAAATTTTTTTAATTGTGTTGTACAGAAAATTAACAGATTATTTTTAAATTTAATAAAATAATAAGTTAAAAATTAATCAGCTGTCATATTAAACTCAATAAAAAATTTATCCTTCCGCTTGAGCATTTAAAAATTTTTTTTTAATTTTTAAACAAATAAACTATCATAAAAAAATTAAAAAACAAAATTTTATAGAAATATTAAAAAATGAGAAACAATTTCTAAAAATATTTTTTTAGAATTAATTTATACTTAAAAAAAAATTTGAAAATTTTTTCGGAGTTTGCTGATTGTAGTATCAAAAATCAATAATAATAATGTAAAATTTTTCACTTAATAATAATAATAATAATAAATCTATTGCTATAAATATTTTTATTGCTACTGTACTTGTTTTTAAAAAATGTCAATTTAATTCCAATAATAACAATCATAATGTCGAATGTTTTCAATTTATCATTATTAATTTGACAGTTTTTTAAAAATAAGTACAATAATAATAAATGTGATAAAAATTAATTTATCAGATATTTGATAAATCAAAAAATTGTTTTTAACAAATAAATTATGGCAAAAAAAGAGAAAAAAAACTTGACAAGTACAAATTTAAAAAAATTTAATTTTTTTTTTTAAATTTTAAAATTTTGTGACTGCTAACTTTAATGTCACATAAATGTTTTAAAATAAGTCTTATTATTATTATTGTTTTTTTTTTTAACAATGTAAAATTAATAATAATGATAATGTACAATTTTTTACATTTATTGTTATTAATTTAACATTTTTAGATAATAATTATAATGATGATAATAATAATAAATGTGGAAAAATTAATTTTCATCAAAATTAATTAAAAAAAAAAAAAATTTACAGTTTCGCAATCAGTATGACAGCGATGTGACAGTATGGAGTCCCCAAGGACGTTTGCACCAGGTAGAATACGCGATGGAGGCAGTTAAATTAGGCTCAGCGACAGTGGGTCTAAAAAGTAGAGACTACGCGGTTTTAATTGCACTGAAAAGAGCCTCCTCTGAATTGTCCGCTTACCAGAAGAAAATAATCCCCATTGACAAGCACATGGGGATCAGTATCGCTGGTTTGACTGCCGATGCTCGTATGCTCAGGTATTTTCTTAATTTAGTTTTAAAATTATTAAAAAAAAAAATTTCACTAATTATTTTAATAAAATTTGAAATGAAGGTAATATTCAGATCTCAGCCAATAAATAAATAAATAAATGCTCAGGTTATTTAAGATCCGTAATTTATTTGATGTCGAAATTATTTCAAATTCTAAATTATTTCAAAATTATGTCAACAATATAAAAAATTTTTTCCCAAATTATTTTACAATAGGGTAAATGCACCAGTTGTTGACCGGTCACCAATTAGTTGACCGATGTATAAAAAAGTTAATTAATTAATATTTTACAAGGGTTTTTTTTTCTTAAAGGATTAAAATAAAAAAATATGGCATTTAATCATCATAATAAAAAATTACGCAATTAATTGCGCAGTGATTATAGCTTTAAAAAAATATTCTGAGTTTGTTTACAACGCAACCAGCCATAAAGCGGTCAAAAATAACTACCGTACAATTGGAGAGTGAGTGCATTTCATCATTAATTTAGTGATATTTATCGGCATAATATAAAATATTTTAATTTTATTATGTTAATTAAAGATCAGATTCCAACTTTCTTGAAAAAATAAAGTTAAATTATAAGTTTCAATATTATTTTAAGAACAATTATTGGAGAGTGAGTGCATTTCATCATTAATTTGGTGATATTTATCGGCATAATATAAAATATTTTATTTTTATTATGTTAATTAAAGATCAGATTCCAACTTTTTTTGAAAAAATAAAGTTAAATTATAAGTTTTGATATTATTTTAAGACCGGTCAACTATTGGATCCGTCAGAAGCTCTTTACCCAGTGAAAAATTCATTCGGTCATTTATTAGACTCTCTGATTTTATCACAATCTAATTAATGGCCGTATATTTATAATACTAACTTCTTGACCTCTAAATTAAATCTGTCAAGTGTTTAAAGTACTTTAGTCATTCAATATTTTGTAAATATAAAAATAATCATTATAAAATGTATATTTACAATTAAAATAATACTTAAAATTTTTTTTGATTATTAAATTTTATTTTGTTGTAATTTTTTTTAGTGAACGGTTATATCAACGAACGAATTATTAGAAGAAAAAATTTCTAAGCAATTAAAAAAATAAAAAAGAGTTATACAAGCTAGTAAGAAAGCTTTAATTGACAAAAAGAAGGAGAAGAATAAAAAAATTTTAAGTTAATCAGAAGAATTATCGTCATTAAAATGAATTTGTGATTATTTGTGACCTAAAGAAATTTGACTTTATGTTAATTATTGCTATTGTTTATATTATTTTATAAAAAAGTACGGTTTAAAATTATATTGTATGTTTAGTTTTGTTGAAGATGTCGTTAATACTTTAAAAGTACTCCATAAATTTAATTACATACATGTGGTTTACAAAATTACTTATAATTATTTGAGCGGTCAATTAATTGGATAACGGTCGGTCATTTATTGGGTTTCTTCGGTCAATAATTGGTGATTTTAGTATTTCAAGATTCAAATAACAAAATTAATATAATTTTGTTAATTTTTATTATAAATAGTTATTAATTATTATTAATTAAGTATTTAACTTTAATAAAATCCATTATAAATTGGTTTTAGTAGGTTAATAGATTTTTTATAGCTTAGTACAGAAAAAGAAAACCTTAATCGGTCAATAATTGGTGCATTTACCCTATCCGACTCTATAAATTATTGTTTATTTATTTATTGTAAATTAAATTTATTTATTATTTTTGTAAAGGTTTTTATGAATAATTTTTTTATAAAAATTTATTATTTTTTATATAGAAATGTTTTTATAGAAATTTTATTTATGTATTGTAAATTAGGTCTTATGGAATATGGAAAGATTAGAATGTATTCAGTAATTTATAGAGTCGGATATTGTAAAATAATTTGGGAAAAAATTTTTTGTATAGTTGACATGGGAATGATGATTTGCAGACGCCTGATAAAGTTGAGATTGTCAACGAAACGTTGCGGAATTTGAAATAATTTAGACATCAAATAAATTACGGATCTTAAATAACCTGAGCATTTATTTATTTAAAATTTGAAATTTTTATAATAACTTAATTTAGGTAAAAGACCCAGTAATTGACACTGGCCTAGTTGTTTGACACTTGCAATTTTATTTTAATTAAAAAAATTAAATGTTCTCAAAAAACAAATTTTCTTAAACTTTATAATTCAAAAATAATATTTATTAATTTATTACAGTTGATTTGTTTTTTTTAATTAAAATTAATTTGCAAGTGTCAATAACTAGGCCAGTGTCAATAACTGGGTCTTTTACCTTATCACTAAAAAAAAATAATTATTGAAATTTAGATAAAATTTATACAAGCGAAATTTTTTGTTTATAATTCAATTATTAAAAAAAATTGAAAAATTTTTAGATAGCAATTAATTTTAATATAATTTCTTTTTAATTAATTTTTAATTGTCAAAAATTTTCTGTAAATTATTTTACATAAATATTGTTAAATATTATCAATCTAATTATATCTGTATATTTTTATATAATTATATTTGCATTAATTCCAGCCGTTACATGAGAACAGAATGTTTAAATTACAAATATTCCCACGACGATCCACTTCCGGTAGGTCGATTGATTGGAACTTTGGGTAACAAAATGCAAACATGCACTCAAAGATACGACAGACGTCCTTACGGTGTTGGTTTACTAGTTGCTGGTTATGATGTAAGTGTATTAATGAAATTTTCTTTAAGAATAAAAAAAAAATTTTTTTTTTAAATAAAAATTTTTAATTTCGCGGTTTTGTAACTTTTAAACGGTTGGTCCAAACAATTCGCCGATAAAGACCTTTTTTTATTCAGAAATAATAGTCCTTCAAAAAAACACTTTGAAAGCTTAAAAAAATTTATCTTAATAATCCACGATTAATTTTTGCCGATAAGTAATAAAAGCAAATTTTAGGTGACACTATTATCTCATTAAAACTATTATTTTAGATAATCACAATATTTTTCAGTTTAATTTATATTAATAGCCATTGTAAATATAGATTTTTTCTTATAATACTAAAAAAAGCAATCTGACGATTTTTCGGTTTTTCAACCAACAAATTAAAAAAAAAAAAGAAAATGTACCCAAGTACATCTAGAAGATTTAAAAAACTATACGTACTAGCTTTTTAAATATTACAAGCCAATAACATTTGTTATTAAAAAAAGACCAAGGGTAAATGCACCAATTATTGACCGATTAAGGTTTTCTTTTTCTGTACTAAGCTATAAAAAATCTATTAGCCTACTAAAAACAATTTGTAATGGATTTTATTAAAGTTAAATACTTAATTAATAATAATTAATAATTATTTATAATAAAAATTAACAAAATTATATTAATTTTGTTATTTGAATCTTGAAATACTAAAATCACCAATTATTGACCGAAGAAACCCAATAAATGACCGACCGTTCTCCAATTAATTCACCGCTCAAATAATTATAAGTAATTTTGTAAACTACATGTATGTAATTAAATTTATGCAGTACTTTTAAAGTATTAACGACTAATCTTTAACAAAACTAAACATACAATATAATTTTAAATCGTACTTTTTCATAAAATAATATAAATAATAGCAATAATTAACATAAAGTCACATTTCTTTAGGTCACAAATAATCACAAATTCATTTTAATGACGATAATTCTTCTGATTAACTTGAAATTTTTTTATTCTTCTCCTTCTTTTTTTCAATTAAAGCTTTTTTACTAGCTTGTACCTCTTTTTTATTTTTTTAATTGCTTAGAAATTTTTTCTTCTAATAATTCGTTCGTTGATATAACCGTTCACTAAAAAAAATTACAACAAAATAAAATTTAATAATCAAAAAAAATTTTAAGTATTATTTTAATTATAAATATACATACATTTTATAATGATTATTTTTATATTTACAAAATATATTGAATGACTAAAGTACTTTAAAAACTTGACAGATTTAATTTTGAGCTTAAGAAGTTAGTATTATAAATATACGGTCATTAATTGGAATGTGATAAAATCAGAAGGTCTAATAAATGACCGAATGAATTTTTTACTGGATAAAGGGCTTCACAACTGGTGCATTTACCCAAGTTTTAAAATCTAAAGATAAAAATATAAGTATTTGAGTAATTAAATAGTCCAGTGTGAGATTTAAATATATTATTAACTATTTAAAAAATATATAAAGGTATTTAATAATTAAAATTATAACTGTTATTTAATTGTTGAGAGATTTAATTCCGATAATTAGCTAAATAAACTTTTATTAATCACATATATCATTTATTATTAACGATTACTATATAATTATAAAAAAAAGTGATGAATATTATTTATTGGGGTAAATAACTTTTTTGATAATTAAAATAAATTTTCAGGATCAAGGACCTCATATATACCAGACATGTCCATCAGCAAACTACTTCGACTGCAAAGCAATGGCCATTGGATCCAGATCTCAAGCAGCTCGTACCTACTTGGAGAAACATTTAAACGAATTTCCAACTTCTGATTTAAATGAATTAATCAAACACGGATTACGTTCTCTGCGTGATACTTTGCCCAACGAAGTTGATTTGTCTATCAAGGTATCTATCAATTTTTTAACTAATTAATTAATTAATTAATTATTAATAAATATTGTTAATTATAGAACGTGTCCATCGGAGTCGTAGGCAAGGGCCAGGTCTTTGAAATTCTGACCGAGGAACAGACGGAACGGTACTTGACCGAAATTGAGGGCGATGAGAAACGTGGCCGCCCGGCTGCTGCTGGTCCAAGTGCTGACGATGACAAACCTCAGGACCCACCAGCTGAGGGAGTCGAGCCTCGTCCTGCTGTCGCTATGGACACCGAATAAATTTAATATTATATTTAATATTTTTAATTTTTCCTACAGGTTGCATTTTATTACTTTGTAATTTACTGCAATAAATGGTGATTTAAGTATTTTTTGATTCTTTGGATTTTTAAAAGTTTAAAATTGGAGTTTTAATCTTAAAAAATTTGGGAATTTATAATGACAAAAAATTATAGTTTTTTTTTATTATGAATCTTAAAATGAAAATTTTGGGAAAACTTTTTTTTAATTATTAATATTAAAATGAATATTCTAGGAAAATTATTGGAAATTTGAAAAAATTTTAAGAAACCTTTTTTGTAGAGAAGAAAATTTCCTTCAAATTTTATCCGAAACTTTTTTTTTGTAATTTTAGTAGTTTAAAATATATTGCAGCTACAAAATTTTGGAAATTTATAATGACCAAAAATTCTGGTTTTTTTTTTTTTAAATTATGAATCTTGAAATGAAAATTCAGGAAAAATTATTGAAGATACAAAAAAATCATACGATATTTTTTTTATAGAAAAAAAAATTTTTCTTTCATTTTATCCCAAGCTTTTCTTTGTAACTTGAAGAATTTAAAAAATATTGTAGTTTTAAAATTGTGGAAATTTATAATGACGAAAAATTCAAGTTTTTAATTAATTAAAATTCAGGGAAAACTACTAGAGATATCGAAAAATTATTTTCGACCTTTTTTATAGAGAAGAAAATTTTCTTTGAATTTTATCCTGAACTTTTTTTATAGCTTTAGTAGTTTAGAAGATATACCAGGAATTTTATAAATAAATCAAGAGAGTCATTAAACAAAAATAATTTATTTTAAAAAAAAAATCTATCTACAACTATCACTCCACGACATGAGATTGACCATCAATTAATTAATTAATTAAAAAATTAATTAATCAAACATTGACATCCACATCTTGGTTGCGTTGCTTAATAATATTAGCGAGATAAAACTCCCCTGCCTTGTAAGAGGACCTCACCAGCGGACCACTAGCGGTGTAGAGGAACCCCGAAGTGTTCCCGAACTCTTCCCAGTGCTTGAACTTCTCGGGAGTAACGTACTCGATCACCTTAAGGTGGCGCTTTGTCGGCTGCATGTACTGGCCCAATGTCAGCGCGTCAACTCCCGCAGACCTCAGGTCTCTGATGGTGGTTTCTACTTCCTCGTCGGTCTCTCCCAGGCCCAACATTATTGAGGACTTGGTTATTAGGTTCGGGTTTAGCTCTTTCGCCATTTTTAGGACTTTCAACGATTGTCTGAAATAAGATTACAAAAGATTAATGTTTTAAAGTACACGATTAGAAATTAATAATAATAAAATACTAAATCAAGATCATTTTATTATTATTATTATTATTATTATTATTATTATTATTATTATAAGCTCGCCCTGACATTACACTCATCGAGACCTTTTATTTGAGTACCCACATCAATTTTTCATATATTTATATATATTATATATATGTATATATAAAATATATCAAAATGCATGTGGGTACTCAAATGAAAGCTCTTGATGAGTGTAACGTCAGGATGAGCTTATATCTTTAAAAACATCAATATTTAAGAAAATACAGTGTAATTTAACATAATTAAGAAATGACCTTATATCTTGTGAAATATTGACATTTTTAAAT